CTTGGAGGCTCGTCTTGAAGCCTTTTGTAATAGGTCCTTGCGCCAGATCATGGGGTACTGTTGGTGGGACCATGTGTCCAACCAACGGTTGCACCGTGAGACTGGCACAAGCCCTGTTATCTGCACAATCCGTGATCGCCAACTCAGGCTATACCTGGCTCGCTTTCATCAGGATGATCCTGCCCATCAGGTCGTCTCTATTCGAGACAACCCTGGGTGGAGGAGGCCTGTGGACGACCGAGGAAGTCATGGCTTGGGCAGATCGACCAAACCTGCCGTGAAGAACTAGAGATGGGCCGAGGCCCTGCCTGGCGTCTAGCCATGAGGGATCCTCTTAGGTGGAAGCGAAGGGTGGATGCGGCTATGCGCCCCCGTCGGCGTCAGCCCCCATGATGATGATATATATATATATATATATATATATATATATATATATATATATATATGATGGCGTCGACAACCTTTTGTACATAGTGTGCCAGTTGATAATTAATGCCTTCTCATTAATAACCTAGCGTGCCATTTTTGTTCTTTTCAGCACTTTATACCCAAATGTATTTTCCTGCACATACATAACATAAATGTAATATTTAAGTAGCATTTAGTATTCTTTGTAACAAAAATTATACATGTTTTATGGTTTAAGATTTATACTTACCATATTGATATCTGGACACTGAGCTTTAAGCAACCCTCAGAGTGATCCGTTTGTAAGGCCGTGTCACACTAGCACTTTTTCCGCATTACTTTTCCACTGGCACCACGGAAATCGTGGTTCATTTTGGATCGCGCAGTCACACTAGCGATGAGAACCACGGAAACAGCCCGACCAAAATTCTGAACACAGAAAGATGAGTTCAACCCCCGCACAGGCTCTGGCGATGATGGACATTATTCAGGCTATGTGGCGACGATTTAATGAGAAACAACGAATGTATAACGCTAAATAAGGGCGTATTTTCGCTACTCTCGTCTAGTCAGCTGACGGGGGAACGTGGACACAAATGTAAACAAACAGACGAGCAGCTGGTTTACAAATTTGTATCTATTTTTATTAAATACAAGAGAATTTTGCCAATAAAAAAACACAGTTTAGACTGTATTTTTGAATCGTTTTATATTATAAATAATTTTTTTTCTTTTTTTTTCTTTTTTTTACTATAACTATTATTTATTATAGCTTATCATTTGAACCAAAAAAAAAGACTACGGAAACTTGCCAGTGAAAACGATAATTATCGTTTTACTGGAATTTATCGCATTCACCCAAACTACAAGCGGTAGCGAGAAAAAAAAAAAAAAAACAGACAAAACAAAAACAAAACAAAACACGGAAACGTGAAAGAACCACGGAAATTGTGCTAGTATGACACCCCCTTAAGGCTGCTGCGATGGGAGCTGAGGGTATGCTGCTTGTATGAAAACTGGCTCACATTATGTAAATGTAAATGTATGTAAATCCAAATGCTGATAACAATACCAGGCTACTTTCTTCATGCAGCTGAATTTATCAGGCAGTGATGTCAGGGAACGTATTATAGAGGCTGCATGACCATTCGAAGTAGATTCCAATATTTCTCGATTTTAAAATTTAGCATAGCAATAAGACTTTCTTTCTCTCTCGTAACATTTTGTTGTTTAACTTTTTTCTTTGCTGCTCTGAATCACATACCATAGACAAGTGTTCTGCGTGCCAAGTCTGGCACTCATGCCAAGATTTGCCGACATCTGTATATACTATAGATAAATAAATGAATATATATATATATATATATATATATATATATATATATATATATGTGTGTGTGTGTGTGTGTGTGTGTGTGTGTGTGTGTGTGTGTGTGTGTGTGTGCGCGCGTGTGTGTGTGCGTGTATGTGTGTGTGTGTGTGTGTGTGTGTGTGTGTGTGTGTGTGTGTGTGTGTGTGTGTGTGTGTGTGTGTGTGTGTGTGTGTACGTGTACACATATATACATATATATCTTTGTATATGTATGTGTATGCATATATATGTATATATATATAATATATGTATATATGTATATATATAATATATATTATATATTATGCATATATATATATATATATATATATATATATATATATATATATATCTATCTATCTATCTATCTATACACATGTATATGTATGTGAATATATATATATATATATATATATATATATATATATATATATATATATATGTGTGTGTTGTGTGTGTGTGTGTGTGTGTGTGTGTGTACATATATATATACATATATATATATATATATATATATATATATATATATATATATATATATATATATATATATATCTGGCCTTTGATAGTGTCAATCACGAAATCCTCATCAGTAAACTAATGAATCACAAAATTGACACATATTGGTTCAGAAACTATCTAAGTAATAGAACCCAATCAGTCAAAATTAGCGAGAATATATCAGAAAAACAGAGTGTATCCTTTGGTGTCCCACAAGGATCTATATTAGGCCCAATCCTG